GGTACTATATCACTTTTCCGATAACCATAGATAATTAAACTTCAGTTGATTGACCCGTGGCAAAGTGCCTGCAAACTAAATAGAAAATTAACATCGTGAGTATAAAAGTGCACCTTCAGTTGCTTCTTCATTGCCTTGCTTATTGCATTTAATGCAAATCCTGCAGAACCAGATGTGAGATAAGGTCTTCTGTAAACCATCGCCACATCTTCTTTTATTTGGTAAGGACCACAACTCAGCATTGTTTTATCACTAGCTCTAAGAGGGTCCTGATTGCAAGAGAGTTAAACCAAGAATGAGAGACAACTGGCAGCAGATTTGCAGAGGAACATGCATATGTCGGGTAGCAGAACATATGTGAAAATATTTGCATCTACCCTACCTGACAAAATATTTCGCCCAACAAAAAGTTGCTCAGGACTGATAAGGTTGATGGTAGATCGGCATGTTGCATTGTCAGCTTCAGTAAACCAGAAAAATGAATGGTTAGTGAATCCGAACATGTCTTCACTCAACTAGTTAGAAGGAGAAAAAGACGCTGAGGAAACAAGAGTAGCTTCATCTAAATGACATGAATCTGAAGTCATTAAACAGTTTCATCTTTCATATGTTTGAAAAGAGTGTAAAGTAATGTGGCCCAAGGTCCGAGAGTAATTCGGAACGGTGTTCAGCCAAGAAGAAACACGATTGGACAGAGAACCAAGAAAACCAAAAAGATATTCTATATCTTGGATTTCACTGGAAATATGGTAACCTGCAGAATAATAAAGTCATTCAGCAGAATATGACAATTCTATAGTTTGACTGCACATCACCGTCACAATTAAGCTATACAGATCCAGAGAAAAAATGTTCAGAAAATAAAAGCATGTACTGGTTACAGTTGACTAATCCTTACTGGTGGATTGAGAAGTATAAGACCGTTTAGCTTTTCCTGGTGATTGCTAGCATATTTGATCGCAATTGGTGAAAAGTATCCCTGGAAGAGAATGGCAAAAGGAGAGGTTTTCTTCAAATCAGAAAACACAAGATAAGTAACACAGAGCAAGTTAAATTCTAACAGTCAAATACAGTAGTGCAAATAGATGAATATGTAGGGAGGCATTTCTGTATCTTGGAGACAGATCAACGGCACTGCCTCCCGCTTAAATAGGGAGGCTCGGTTTTGTTTTGAACATTATTTTTTTCAGATGAAATGGCATGGTGGCCCTATAGAAGAATTTTTCCATATATATATATAAACATACCTGTACTACAAGAGTAACCTTTTTGTCAGTAAGAGCATTGAGAATAGATTCCAAGGATGCCACATACTCTGTCAGACATGAGAAACTGAATGTCAAGGAGTGGAGATTTCTATATTGTAATAATCTGTTCATTATTATCATAATATTCTTAGGTGGATAGAAAATATTACTTACCATCCAATGTGTAGTCAAATCCGTATCTTGGTTGGGGCTTATCTGAGAATCCAAATCCTGTAAGAAGGAGAAAGTAGAACTATTCATTTTCCTAACATAAACATGGATGAACGTGAACCTCACTATTTTTTTTAAAAGAATAGTAGAAAACTTGAATGGAAGATAATATGGGGATACTGTTAAAATTGTTGAGTAGCATAAGAAATAAAAACACATTCAAAGACACTACTTCATCTGTTCATCTAAATGTGGAGGTATGAATGCTAGCATTGACAATAGAAACGATTCCGAATAAATTAGGAGGATAATGTAAGAAGTACTAAAATACTGACCCAGCCAATCAAATGCTATAGCATGATAGTTCTTCTCAAGAATGGGAAGAATTTTGCGGTAAGAGTATGCCTGTAAAGTAGCAGTGCAACCATGGTTAGCAAACTATCAACCAAGACAAGCGTTACATGGTGAAATGATGGACATAGATTAGTGATATAAACTAGAATCAAGTAGCCAAGAATAAAAAGCTGGTCATATTAGAAGGAACACAAGCATCAGAATCCACAATTCTTCAGACTAGAAATGTAGAACTTAGATGGAAGTTGGTAATTGGGAATTCATATTGAAAATAATTGGTTCATCACCTGAGCTTGCATTTAGTTTGAATTAAAATACAAACACCACCAAAATGTTGACATGTTCAAGAGACAGTTAATCAGAATATACTAACGATCTAACTAGGTTTTCCATTTTCTGAGATTTACTAATTTGAATGGTAATAAGGCAACATACTAACCTGTGAGGGTAATCCGTGGACTAATACAATGGTAGAATTGTCAGTGCTTCCGCTCTCTACACAAAACCATCTATTGCACAAAATCATAGACAGAGAGCATTCAATCGGTAATCCTGCAAACAACCCATTCTCAATTTCTGCATATAAGATTGCTATATCCCTTAAATTGTCTAACAAACAAACAAATAAATTCAAAAAAAAAAATAAAAAAAATCAACCAGATTCACCTGAAAAGATCAGTTGAGGCCTGTGAACCCCCACCCATTGTAAGTCCAAAAAGAGGATCTTTTGCCTTCTCCCCAGTCCCAGATACAGGATGAGCTTTCACCTGAACGTCACAAACGAATACCAAAATTCAGATGGGTACCACAATTGTTAGTATAAAAGATAAATGCACTCTGATTTTCATCAGCCATATTCATAATTATAGAACATGGAAAATGGAAAAACGGAGCAGGAAAAACGCACAAATTTTCCTTTCTTGAACCATTCATCAGCGGGGCTCGGCTCGTCTGAATATTTTCCTGTACAAATTAATCAATTTGATCTCACTATTGGTCCGTAATTAAACTGAAGATGCCACATCCTTCCTTGAAACAAAATTAAATTAAATTTAACAGAAACAAGAACGAATTTTGCAAATTATTCAAATTCCAACCTCCGCTAAAAGAAAATCCGTCCCCAACTGAAACAGGAGCATCCAGCAAATACTCCTGAATATTTTATCATCAATTTACAAAACACCCAGAAACATAATTTACTTCAAGAGAAATACTGATCACGAGATATGACAGTAAAGTTATACGTACGTCGTTGTTATCGCTGCTCGATCGGCAACGGAATCGCAAAAGTTTCTTCCTTCCCTGAGCTCCATGGTATTTTGGAAGAGAGAATTGGTGAAGTGGCAGATTGATCCTATCAGGGGGAGAAGAGGGGAGCATGCGGAAGCAGTGACAGTGAAGAGTAGCCATGGAATTCTTGAATAACAAATGTGCTGTGACAGTTATGACCGTTTTGTCTACGATTTTTAGAATAATACAATTAAAAGATTTTTGTGCGTGGGTTCAAAGGAGATAGGGTGCCTCTGGTTCTCTATCTTTCATTCTTTTGGATCACAAAAATTGGTAATACTTTTTTCTGGAAAATGTAACCTTAGATAGCATATTTCGAACTTGCTCTACTCTTTTTCCTGTAAGGAGCTCAAAGACTGATGATGTTTTTTCCCGATTATTATAAACTAAATAAAAATACTAAAGGTTGCACACTTTTGCAATTTAAGAACTTGAAGATAGTTCTAACTAGATTTCTGTAAAGACTATTTCATTTGACTCTTGAAAGAATAAACATGAAAAGTAATTTGTAGATCGGTAACTTAAGCCAAAAGTAATAAGTTAATGAGATTGTATAACAATCCAACTGGTCGCAATATGTCGTTTTATGATCTGAGACTTCCCGTAGGTTTATTGTCATGGCTCAATTTTCACCATAAGCCGTGATGGGCTTAGCGTTGCCGTCAGACAAGCTAACAATAAATCAACACGACGATCAGTGGTTCATAACACATTTTAAAACAAGTGATGAAATAAATAAGCGGAATTGTTTCGTTTTCATAGTAACATACTGACATCATCTTCAAGGTTTGAACATGGTCAAAATAAATCCGAATGTCATAACAGAAATACATCCATGAATAATGGTCTAAAATCCCCAAAATTCGGTGTCACAAGTGCATGAGAATCTAGGAGTATAAAATACTACTACAATAACTGTTTGGAAAAGAAAATAGGCAGAATATAGTAAATGAATAGGAAGGGGACTCTATGTGCTGCGGATCGTAACATTAAAAGCAGCTCACCACAAAATCTCCTTAGCAGCTGCGCCTACGCGCCTGTATGACCACCAAATGTACTTGTCTCAGTACCTGCACAAGTAGTATATAAGTGTAGTATGAGTATGTAAATCAATGGGTACCGGTAAATATTTAGTCTAACCTCGAAGAAGTAGTAAAGAGGGATCAATATCTATACTTACTAATAGTCCAATAATCACAGTACAATAAAAAGTAGACAGGTAGGAAGCATAGCAAGTAGCAATGAAACAGATGAACATGTACATTATTCTCAACAGAAGAATAAATACGAAATCATCAAAACCAAATACTGCCTCGAATGGAATATATGTGACCAATATTAGGTGCAAATGTCAAATCCGAGTCAGGATACTCATATATGCACCGACTCCCTATCAAAATATTACACAAGATACTGCCGAGGTGAACAACCCGATTCTATCAGAGTGGTGTTATATGATACCGCCGAGGTCGTACGGCCTGGTCCCATAAGTATCTCATAATACTGCCGAGGTGAACGACCTGCTCCCAAAAGAATATTTTATAATAATGCTGAGGTGAATGATCCGATCCCATAAGAATATTGAAACTTTCAACGGGTCACTAGCCCAACTCGTGAAGATACCGCACGAAAATGAAAGAAAGATGGGAAATTTTCCTACATGACTTGTAGCCTCCCGAAGATAGGTATGGACATCATCATACTGATCCGTAAGACTCTACTAGATACTTGCTCATGACTCGTAGAACCTATGAACCCAGAGCTCGGATACTAACTTGTCACGACCTAAAATTCACTTAGTCGTGATGACACCTAACCCAAACAGCTAGGTAAGCCAAATAACAGTCAACACAACTCAAATGAGAATAGTAAGAATTAATAAATAAAATATCTGAATTTTTTACACAATAATCCAAGGATTGGTAGTACAAGTCACAAGCCACTAAGACTTTAGATTTACAAATCTGGTATGAAAATATTTACAATGTATGTTTGAAATAAACATAAACAGAACTAAAATCTAAACTACCAAGGACAAGTGGTAGCTAAGTCCAGAAATCGGGTATATCTTCAATACCGACTCCGGTCATAATCAGCAGCATCAACTCCAAGATCTGCAGCCAAGGTGCAGAAGTGTAGTATGAGTACAACCGACCCCATGTACTCAATAAGTATCGTAACTAATATCGGCGAGGTAATAGAAGCAAGAATTATAAATGATACTTGCCAATCACCCGTATAAGTTCATAAATTCCAACAAGTATAGGATATACATATGATCAAATCATGATATCACAGATAAATACACCTTGGTGCCCTAAATTTTCTTAACGTATTCTGATCAGTCAAAAGTTTATAATATAAGGTAGATATGCAAATAAAACAGGTAAACAACCAAGGAAATTGCAAGTAAAAATGAAATACAATAATCACATATCAATCCGTTGCGTCGTGCAACCCGATCCAACAGAAATCACATCACGGCACTAAGGCCCACATCAAAATCCTAATAACCGAACCAAAATCAATAACCAGATCTCCTAGAGCTCACATCAACTAGAAACCCGCCGGTTTCTCACAATCCGTGTGTACACCATCAAGAAGGCTCATGAGAGGGGGATCCTAGGGGGATGGATCCATATCTATACACATGCACGACAAATTCAACGTGATATCAGACCAGCATGATCACATGCTCAATATCATAATCTGCCTGGCGTGGTCACATGCATCACAATACAATCCGCCCGACGTGGTCACAGCCATAACAACACTATCCGCTCGGTGTGGTCACATGCATAACAACATAATTCGCCTGGCGTGGTCACAAGCATAACAACACAATCCGCACGGCATGGTCACAGACATAATAACACAATTCGTCCGGTGTGGTCACAGACATAACAACACAATTCGTCCGGCATGGTCATAGGCATAACAACATAATCTGCACGGCTTGGTCACAGACATCCGGTCCAAATCATATCACACGGAAGCAAATATACAAGAATACATGTATATGATCACTGAGTATCAGATTTCATGCTCCTGGACTGGTATAAATGATATGCTAAAGTGTATGCATGTGCAAAGTATGCTATCATAGCTCAGATCGACAATTTCATCACGGAAATATCAATTATCATGTTCATTCAGGGAATTAGCCTATATAGAACCTCAAATATGGATCAAATAGTTCATAACAAAGTTACAATGTGAGAAACATCATAGCATAAAGCTTAACAATCAATTCAAGACATGTTGTAGCCTAAGCACTACCCCGAGCATGGATAAATACCCCGGTGCTCGCTCATGGGCTCAAACTCCATACATATTGTCACGCCCCGACCTTGGGGAGCGCGACCGGCGCTCAATTGAGATAACCCAGTCAAGAAAGCCTACTTGATGCCTTCTACCCAACCTTACCCATGAATACAAAGGAGATGCATACCGCTCGTTGGACAATGAGAGGATTTCATAAACAACACCAATTTCATTACCATTAGTTACTTCATTTGTAATTCCCAAAATACATTACACATTCATAGTTTAGAAGTGGAAATATGTGACACATATACAACATTTCTAGTTTGACTTTTCAAAATAAAGATACAACCCACACTATGTCTACGGAGCCTCTAATGGATACAAAGGAGTAACATGATGGTGCCGGCAATAAGGCCCCGGCTATACCTCAAAACACTGTACATAAGAAACAAAAGATACAAGACCCCGATATAAAGTGGGGCTCACCAAGTTAGCTGAGAAGAGGGTGTACCGCCATCACTTACTGATGCCGCCTGCTGTGGAACCACCTACACCATTAAATATGCAGCGCCCTCGGCAAAAGGGACTTTAGTACATATGGAATAGTACTAGTATATAAGACTAAACACCCTCTTAAAGAATCGAGAAACAGTATAAGGAAACAGAAATATAGAATCAATGAGGACCTCAAACAATGATAAAGAATCAAGTTAAGAGAAAGATAATATTTCAAGTGAATATCACTATTATTAAATAGGAAGATCTTTAGTACCGATATACCACCGTATTTGTAGCACGAAGTCCGATATCGGTCCGATCCTCTAAGACATCTCACCCCGAGACATTCAATCACAACACCACCATGTGCGCGACATGGCATTCGATCTCAGCCCTATCGGCTAAGCTATTTTACCACAATGACGTGTGGATCAACATCACTTTTTGCTAGCAATCACCTCATCCCAAATAAGGGGAATAATCTCAGCACACCAATCTTATCCCATTTAAGGGGAATAATCTCAACACATAAATACTGGGATTTACCCCTCAATCACTCCTACACCGGCACATGTAGTTTCGGGGTTAGGTTATTTCAACCTACCCTTCCTCGGTAACTAAACGATGCTCCCAAAACAGTTATGACATAAAGAAATTAAAACTGATTTCATAGTCTTTCATACATTCCTTTCATTTCATTGGCACTATTGGCCACAGGTGTAATCTCATTTTTGGCACGATGGCCACATTTTATATCTCATACTCACTTCTTTCACTTTTAAGCATCATCATAGATTATCAACAGTAAGGGCATTTGAAATCAAGACTTTTAGTATGTATATGAACAACAGGGGCCTTAAGCACATTGAGTTTCTTTCAAAATTAGGCATAATAAACTTACATATGAAACATGATTTCAAATCATAACATTTTGATACATTGGTCATACTTGAATACATTCCCAAAGGAGAACATCATATGATATGGGCAATTGGGGCACATTTGGAGTATACATCTTTCAACAAAAAGCTTATTTGAAATCATCGAATCTACTAGGAATGACTCGGAACATGAGAAATAAGGACTTGGGACAATCACAATTGAACTTACGAGAACATCACGAAATTCAATTATAGGAGAGAAGTTTAGCCAACATACCCCGCTTGAGCTTTCCTTAAATTTACTACAACGTTTTGAAACTCCTAGCGACTTCAATCTAATTAGAGACATGACAAAATTAAATCAAAATTAGGGAGAGGTTTATGGGTTCAGCTCATTTAAGTATTTCATCAAGCATTAGGTGTGCAATTTGGTTATAAGTTTCTTTTATGGGATTTTCTTCACCCTTCCACCAATCCAATACCAAGAGTTTACTCATATTAGTTCAATAACCTCCCCACCACCTTTATTGGTATATGCATGCACAAAAACAACTCCCATTCCTAAGAATCACGCTCTACATTACCCATCTTCTGCCCCAAATTCGAAATAGAAAGCTAGGGCTAGAACATTACCTCTTTAGTAGACAATTTGCAAGTTTTCCTTGTGAATTCTTCAAGGCTTGT